AGGCCCTCCAAGGTTTGGAGGCCTATCTCCCCCACCACCACTTCCCCTGCCAGTGGCGGACTCCCTCAGACATCGGTGCGTTGGTGGTTCTTTGTGTCCGGGGATGGGCGTCCGGGTACATAGCGGCTCACTCCTTGGCGGCCGCTTGTCGGGGCCTGGAGCCTATCGAAATTTTAAACAAAATATCCTCATTTGTGGCTCTCATTTATCTTAGAAACAAAAATTAGGTTAAAAAAAATCTGGTAATTGTTTGTTTTTACATTCATCAGGTCCCAATCAGCCCAAATATCAAATAATAATTAAAAATGCATGCCGTGGAAGAGTTCGGGTCTTAGGAGGTTAACTCACTTTAACACTACTATATTAGTGAGGAATTGTGGGCAGAATTTCCTATACTTTGATAACAAGGTGGAAGACTGTAGTGGCATTTTGTAATTGAGGCTTTTGTTTGTTGTTGCTCCAATGGGGGAAAAAAAATCTAGCTGAAAATGTTCTGTTTATTTGACCTGTGGGTTCGGATTTCATGGCTCAGTTCCTTGGAAAAGAATGATGCATCGGTAATTGCTTATCAAGGAAGTCATAGCCCAGCCCTTTCTGAATGGGCCTTGTTAATGGCTTTCAGCAAGGAAGAGTCAATCAGTGGTTTGCCATTAGAGGATAATAATACCCCCATTTCCTCTGCTTTGATGCTCTCCAAATTACCTTGATTTTTTTCCCCCAACCTCTTTCAAATCCACACTGAGAGAGTGACATGAGCAGGAGGGGTTATTAAGCCTAAATCCCCACCACATTGAGAGGTTGCAAGGTTCATCCATAATTCATGCAGGAAGACAGAGAACAGATTGAATTGTCACAACTCCGGCCAGTACAGATGGAGAGAACGAGAGAGGAATGAGCTGTTCTCCTTTTTCTCAGCGTCCAGATCAGGAATACAAAGGACGCGATTAGCGGGCAGAGAGGGTCAAACTCCTGGCTTCAAGTCCACTCTGTTAAAGAATGTAGCTAATCTTCATTTAACTTAAACTAGCTCTTTCCAGTCTGTGTATGCTCTGTCTGTGCCTGTCAAATTTGGGGGTTATAGGAGATTAGAGTAGCTTAGAAATGAGGATTTGTTCATCGTGTGTGTCAGAGGTTAAAAAAGGGAGCATCAACTGACGTTTGAAATAAGAAGGGATCATGGGGCAGTTTAAGGTCAGGGAGAGGTGATCAAAATTTCAGTCACAAATTTCAGTGTTTATCAACTGAAAAGAAAACCTTTACTCTCACTTCTGTACTGACCAGCTTTTTTTCACTGTTTAGCTGGTTGAGTTGGGTCGAGAGGCTTTAGATGACTAACTATTGTACAATCGTACGTGGTTAGAAAACAAAGCAGGGCAAACCTGGGGGGGCACATGCAGAAGTCTTTTTTTTCATTACTTGCCTTCATTGGTCACCATCATATGCATTTGAAATAAATAATGCATAAATAATTAAACATGACAGGAACGGACTGTCAACAAAGTGCATTCTTTCTAATATATAGCAACTGGCGATTCATCTGACTGCTTAAGGATATCAAATTCTATTCAGTCCAAGTCTCACATGGAGCATTTGCCATCTCAAGTCAAGGTGTGAGAAATCAATCTGTGATGGCTACTGTATGCATCTTTAACATACAGTCTATGGTGACATGAACTCAAATGTATAAAACTGACTGGTTCTTATATAATGCCCTTCTAATCTAGCTGAGCACTCAAAGGACTCTATAGCCTACACCATGCCTCATTCACACACAAGCACATTTTTCAATGCTCAATTCACACTCCGATGGATGCATAGGAGAGCAACTTGGCATTAGGATCTTGCCCAAGGATATTTAGCATGCACGTTGGAGCAGCCAGGAATCAAAACTCCAGCCTTCCAATTAGTAGAGGACCTCCTGAGTTACAGCCACCCAAAAATGATGCTTGAGTGTTTAAAAAAATTACTTAAAAATCAGTACATTTAATTATTTATGCATTTATTGTATGCTATATGCAGTGGAAGTTGTTGATTGAATATGATCTGCCTTAAGTGAAAACAGAAAAAAATGGTGTACCCAGCTTAACCATAAAATTCTGACAAAAAGAAATGTTGTAAAGAGGGAGAAAAAAAGTCAAAGCAGATACCATAAAACATATAAAAAGAGCAGACGTGTAGCTCAATGTGGAGCTACACAGGTCACACAGTTGTTTGGCACTGTTTTTTGTTTTTTACCCCCGAAAAATTATGTAAATTCCATGGCACAATTTTAATGACTAAATTGCAAAAATATGGCTTATGTAGCAAATGTGATACTAATTAAAACATATATATGCAGATTAAAATGTAATATATTATTATATATTCTGTCTAAAGGTTCAACAAAAACTCCATTATCAAGAAATTAAAGATTTCTGGCAGTTATTTTATTGTTCTGGTTTTAAAGGGCTAAAGAAGACTGTAAAATACAGGCAATGTGCTCTCATTTTAGTTTGATTAGACCAAAACAGTTAAATATGAGATCATACAGGATATTTGATAAACACAGAGTGGCAAGATCTCATCACATCTCATCTAATTTCATCTCATGCGGCTTCATAAAGGGATCTGGGATCATGTTTCTTGATTGTGGTTGCTGTAATTGGTAAAACAAAAAAGAAAAAAAAACTGTCACCTTCTGCATGAGCTCAACTAGAATAGCCTGGTGGAATGTCTCATTACCAGGCCAGGCTCAATCATCATTTGTGTTAATTAATGAAAATTGATGAGGGACTGACATTGTTCATAGTGCATTAATTATGTACATTGACTTCCTCTGTCTGCAAATGCAGCACTAAGAAAAAAGGATAAATGGAAGAAAGAATACGGGAAGAGTTTGCAAAGGAAATCACTAAAATAGCAGCAGCCCTGTGTTTCTATTGTTTGATTGATAGAATTAACAGGACTTTAAAAGGACAAAAACACAGTACATGTTGGAAAGCAGAAGCAGGTAAAAATGATACCATGAAATAGTGTAACAGTACACATGAAGTCACCCTACATGTTAACGCTATGCATTTTTTTTCCTTTTCATCTGCCATTTCACACTTTTACGAAACCATGAAAATGACCTGAACCCTGCCCCAGGCTTTAGTCATTTTCTATGTATTACATGACATGTGAACATGAAATATGCCTGAAGTGACTTTCTATTTATAGCCATTCCAGTGATACAGAATAAAAAAATCCTTCACTACTGTCACTACTGGTCTTTAGTTTCCATTGTCTTTGAAGAACATCATAACATGAGTCCTAAAGGCTGCTCTCCCGTTTTAGTGGGACTTTCCAGTTTGTTTGCTGGGTGAGATCAGCAGGCAGGACATAAGAGGGTCACTGTGAGAAAAAGAAATTGCTGCGTTTATCAAAAAGAAGAATTGAAATGGCTCTTGATGTTTTATCTTTTGTTTTATGTTTTATTGCATACCTAATTATTAAAACACAGTCAAACATGAGCAACTGGGGTTTCCCACCAAGCCGTGGTTTATAAAGTGTAGCAGGTTTTACAGAGCAGGAAACCACTGGAAAATTGCTAATTAGCCTTTCAAAACAAAAGCATCAATCCAGTCAATAAGAATTAAGCTAATTGTTTACTGCTCTGCTACATTCATATCTACTGTATTGAAAAGACCTACTGACTCCGATTGCTATACTCTTGTTAACCTCGATGACCAATTAAATATAATACTCATAAACTTAAAAAAGAAATACAAAGAAAATATTTCTACATATCGCATCGATTCATAAAGACAGCAGAGTCTGGACGAAATGTCAGAAGAAAGCTTAGCCAATTTGGGTCTTTCAGAAATGCAAGGTGGAACATTTTCTGTGTGCCTTCCTGCTGTGTAATTCTACACCGCACACGGAGAGTCTTCACACTGTGCAATTTGGTGGATTTTTTTTAACACCAGTCAACCCCCATTTTCCAGCTTGCAGGAACAATTGTTCAACAGCTTCAGGTTAAAAAGGTTAAAAAAAAAGGTAAAAAAAAAAAAAGACGAGACTTTTGAGGCAGTAGACGTTTCCTCGAGCTGCTCTACCATCTATGTCTTTCCACTAAAAACTATGACTGTTGTAGAGAAAAGCACCATTTGTGCTCAAGCTTGAAAGACTCCTGACATAAATGCTCATTAAATGTCTGGTCACATTCATATCTGCTGCTTACAAACTAAAGATGTGATTCAATGTCAGATATAAAATGCCTGTGTCCACGTTTCACACAGGAAACTACAAAGGCACAAGAAGCCATCTACATAACCGTTTTCAGATCCCACAATGTGACCTTTTTTTTTTTTTTTTCCCGCGCTTGTCCCATTTGGTTCTTTAGCCATCAGAATTGTTGTCTGAAGACCAACAAGGATACCCAATGGATTTACTTTGCCAAATGGATCATCGTGGCATTGCCGTATTGGTCCATTTGGTCGATCTTTATTTTATTATTTATTATATTATATTTTCAGATGTTACAGACGGGACAGTTTTTTTTTCTTTTTTTTTTTTTTAGATCCCACAATGTGACCTTTAATGTAGTGTTGTGAGTGCATCATTGAGAGATGGAATGAACTAGAAAGAGAAATATGGCTTTCTGACGCTGAAATCTTGAAAGTGGTTTGACTTTCAAGACAGAGTATAATAGAAGAGAAGGTATTCATTTGATATAAATCTTCAAATGCCACCATTCGTCGCTCTTTGAAAGTTAGTTTTTGTCGTTAGACCGTTTCGTAAGTCGTGGGCTTTTATTTTGAAACTCTCACCCGGATGTCCCGGCTGGTGGGGTATTAGAGTTAGCTTAAAAGCAGCTCGCTCCTCGAGTCAGAGCGAAAGTTGTCTCCGCTTGGAAAAGTGGTGAGACGGGACCCTGCTGTTCGCACCGCCGTTGCTTCGCGCGCTTTCTCCCGCAGAGATGAGGCGGAAGGAGAAGAGGCTGCTGCAGTTCGCCGGGCTGCTCATAGCGGCTCTGTTATTCCTCCCTAACGTCGGGTTGTGGTCTTTGTACAGGGACCGAGTGTTTGACAACTCTCTCTACACAGTGGATGCACCGATACAGGTAAGAGAAGCTCGGCTTTAACGCTCCCCGTGTCACGCAGGGGTGCTAAGACTTTAAAGGCAGTCTTAAAAAACATACATGCATCGTGTTTCCTCATTGTGTCCGCTTGTTCTCGGTTTAAAAGACAAGCAGGGAGACTGTATAGCCTCGGTTTATTCTCGTTGAGACTGGGACATCTGAAACAAAGAACACACTCTCATACAGGAGACTTTTAAACTACAGAAAACACGTAAGAATTCACTTCAAGTAAGGAAAATATGTAATCCAATCTTCCGTATATGTTGTAAGATCAGGTTCAGGATAATGTAGTGAGACGTGAAACACAGTGTAGCACAGTGTTGCTTAAGGTAGCCGTCATTCACTCAAAATAGTAAGACGTGCAGTAGAATTTGCAGAAGAGTGAGATTACAAAGCAACCCTCGCCTTACTTTAAAGCCTTGTAAAGTGTGGACAGAGCGAGCTTCAGTAGACTGGTTGAGAAAGGGAAATCTGAAACAGAGAAAATATTCATATAGGCGACTTTAAAAGTGGGCAATATGAAAAAAAGAGAACTAGAAAACTATTGAGAATATCCATAAGACACATTCTTTTACCACTATCTAAAAAAGAAACATAGAATAAAGAAACCCATGTGTTCCCAGGTTCAGCACCATGGAGAGCGTACAAGCGTTGCTCAGGTTCAGCACCATGGACAGAGCCAAGGCACCTAAAGGATCGCAAGACAAAGTTTGTTGGGTGTTAGGACGATTTCAGCACTATTGCTTTATTTCAATACATTAAACAATGAGATGTGTAACAGTCTGGCATTCAAAGTTAATCATCTTCACTGTCTGGATATTGATTTTTTTCTGTGCTTAGCTTGGTTTTAGTGTAGTGGAACTGAGAGTTTTCTTTATGATGAACAAATGTAGATGCTTTCATTGTGGGATTATACGTGCTTCAGCATGAGCTTCCTGGCAGTCAGCTTTGAATCCCTCATTATTGATTAATATTAAGGAACTAATTTGTTGGCATGTCATGTGAAGAATAATAAGGAGCATCTACCAGATCGTAAAATTATATTCATGACTATTCTTTCTGATTTGTGAAAGTGCTTTGTCTTTTAAAACCATGATGATCCTGGTTGCTGTAGTGTCTGTACTGTACTCTATTTAAAAGAAAATGCAATATTTATTTTACTAAGGCTTCCACACCTGAGAGGCAGGGTACAAAAATAAAATAAAATAATAAAGGTATGCGGCTGGCGTGAGGCATCTGCTTGACATTTCAGGCACTTCCATTACAATTCAGCATTGTTGTAAAGTTATAAACATGGAGGATGTTGTAAATTTAAAAACTGTTTTTCACTCTTATTTGACATTGAGGTGCCTTTATTTGAAAATCATATGTAGAAGGCATGTATCGAGTGAAGAGCACAGCAACACTGGCTTCCTGCCCGTCAGTCATTGGCAAACGCTTCGATGCGCCTCACCTCTAATAAGAGAGACAAGACGAATGTTTATGCAGCAAGCTTCCAGTAGTGTCGAGGAGGTTCTCTTTTTCTTTCTTGTAAATTATAAAATGAAAACAGAGGAAGGCTGCTAATGCTCATACTGCTGACAGGCTTTTGGAATTTAAAATCAGTCCAATGAAATTTTTGGCTCGAATTAATTTTCTCTTGATTGGTAGTCCTTTAAGTGAGAAGAAGTGGCTGTCATAAAAAAAAAAGCTTTCAACATTGCAAATGCATTTAAAACTTTTTCATTGTATTTAGACTCAACATATCCAGCGTCTCTGTACATAATACTTTGACAAAACCATTCATTCCTTCTTGATGTGTGAGAAGAAAAGCCACATGTTCAGCGTCAAATTTACACTGAACGCATGAAATGTTTTATTTTTCTTTAACATTCCCTCAGTGATGAAGATATATCAGCTCAGTTTCTCTGAGGGATTAAACAACATTCAAAACCATGAAGTAAAAATTACCACTTAAGCATGATTTATGTGTAGATTTGTGGAAATCCAGCCTGCGTTAATGTTTTTGATGTTTTTGCATTCAGTCATCAGTGTAAGGTGCCCAATCACAGCTTTCCTGTTATTGATGCTTGCATTGATTTCTGTTCCATTCCCACTGTTGCAATGGAGTAGATGAGAGCCAGTGATTAGAATTGATCATCTACTGCCTGACGTATTCAGTTCCCTTTGACTGAACAGAGAAATCTACCTCTTGGGCTGTAGCCAGTGCCAATTATGAAAATTTGAAGTTCACATAGTAGATGTAAAACTGAGCAAGTTCCCATTTTTTAGCATTAAAAACACTTGTTTACTGTCTGGCTCTAAAAAGAGTTTGGCCTGTCTGCATATTTTCCCCTTTATAAGAACTATGACTGGTGTGAATTTTATAACTCATCCACCTGGATGCTGCAGTGCGGGCTGTGGCTCATTTTACCGATAGCCGTCCCGATACATGAATGAATAAACTGGATGTTTCTGCCACGTCTGTGCTGTTGGTACCTGTTGAAGCCTTTTAATGTACTTATCTGTCTCATATTATAGTCAAAGAAATCTGAGCTTCAGTTTTACTCTGTGAAAATTTATTATTTTATTAGTTTGCAAAAATGATCAGTAGGTCATCTGCATTGTAGATGCAGCATGACTTTTGTCTTCACAAAACAACATGTCAGGGGCAAAACTGCTAATTCAAAACTAGTGGGTGATCTCACAGTAGCACAGTCCATTTTATATAGTGCCTATGACAGAAAAGGCTTCCTTTCCATTTTTCAATTTAACAGCTAAACAGTAGGGGAAATATTAGGGCTACTGAAGATTAAAATAATAATAATAACATGAGTTATAACCCTGAAATTTAGAGATTCAAGTTGTAAACTTATGAAAATAATTACTTAAGAAAAAAAATTGAGTTTTTATTTTTCACTCAAGGATTCATATGCTGAACTTAGTAAAAACGGCTTTTACTTAGTAGCCTCTGTGGGAAAGAAAAAAAAAGAATTTAATTTAAGGGATCTCCAAAAGTTGATTCTGTTCATCTGGACGTAGCGTTTTGTGGGAGAAACGTTTCGTCACTCATTCATGTGACTTCTTCAGTCTCAGCTGACTGCAGGTTTCCCCAACCTTAGAAACAGTACATTTGCATAATGACTGAAACCAGCCCACTGAGGAACACTGGGCTGGGAGGTCAGTTCCTTAATCTTAATTATGCAAATTCTCATGGCCATTGATCAACAACCACTGATCAATGGCCATGAGTACCATTCACAGAGAGTTGGGGAATGGCTGCAATCACAGCATTGTAATTTAAGGGAATTCCTGACTTATAAAATATATTCATCTAAGGAAAATGTAATATGCAACTATGTAAGCAACAAGTTAATGGGGAATATTTGTGCATTAATATAGTGTGGTAAAACCAGCTACGTCAGATCTCCAAGTCAAAGCCCTATATTCCACATAAAGACCTTGAAAAGCTTATCCATGCCTTCATTACTTCGAGACTGGACTATTGCAATTCTCTGTACATGGGCCTCCAATTCTCTCTCTCCTCCAGCATTTGCAATTAGTTCAAAATGCCGCAGCACGCCTCTTAACTGGTGCCCAGTTACCCAGCAGACCTTCTCGACGTGTATAGCCCCAAGAGAACGCTTAGATCCTCTAACCAACTGCTCTTAGTGCAACAAAGGCCCCGACGAAAGACTAGAGGGGACCGAGCTTTTGCAATTGCCGCACCCAAACTCTGGAATAATCTTCCTATCAATGTCCGCATATCAGATTCCATTCAGTCGTTTAAATCATGCTTAAAAACTCACCTGTTCCAGCTAGCTTTTGATGGAAATTAGTTTGGACTTCCACCTGGTCTCCAGTTGTGCTATGTAACTGTAACTATAATTGTTTTTAACTTGTTTTGTTGCCTTTGTTTTAATCTTCTTTGCTACCTTGTGTGAAGCACTTTGATGGACACTGTCCTTTTAAAATGTGCTATAGAAATAAAATATTGATTGATATTGATTTGCAATTTTTATGTAATTTAGGTATATGAATCTCTTTGTGGTGGTTTTTGGCAAAATGTATTTCCTCTGTTTAAAAAAAAAAAATCATATCATGCTGCGAGAACATCAACATCAGAACAATAATGCTGTCTGATTTACTCACTTGTGCTGCGTTCATGTCATGTGGGATTGAAGTTAGAGATGGAAAAGCTTGTCATTTGCCACTTAGATGAATTTACAACATCAGGAAACTTAAGAGGTTTGTGCAGTTATAGATTTGGTAGTGTGAATGTTAAACAACACCCTGAATACGCAGGGAGGCACATAAAGTGTTAATATTGCATTTAATTCCCTTCATCAGGGATTTTAGTTAATGTGAGCTGTCTTATTGTTTTTCTTTTTATGCATTTGATGTATTTCGCTCAGAAAAATCTGAGTCATCGAACACGCTCGCTGTTGTGAATTAGGAAGCCAGTTTACTCCCACTTGACATAAAGTGCCATTATTTCTGTATCATGTGTACTGAAAGGCATGGACTGAGCAAAAAGGAGGGAGACAAACGGGTTAGGCTGCCAGCACATCATCATCCAACCCTAACATTTATCTTATTTTAACCTCTAATGGCACAGAAACTCCTTTACACTGTTGGAAACCGGCTGCAGACATTCATCTTGTCTTCTGTTTGTTTCTTGTAAACTTTTAATAGCTAAAGACAAATGGAACAAAAAACAAATAAGGGCAAAAGGAAGGAACAATATGTGTGTCTGTGCTCGGCGTCTGAGTGCTCCCTGTGGGCTGTTATGGCTTCACTGAAGTAGATAAAAATCAATACTCTAATCCCATTCAGGCTTTTCCCACATAAGTCTTGTTAGAGACGTTTGTAGCTGATATTTTCTTCCCCTTGTTGGTTTCTGTCTGCTTCACTTGTCGACTACACATCGCTTAAACCATCAGAATGAGATCAGAGTGTATTCAATGCAAAAAGGGTGAGCCACATTCTCATTCATAACCAAT